AGGGAGAGAAAGAGAGAAGATAAAAGGAGGAAAAGAAAGAAAAAGAAAGGAGGAAAAGAGGAAAAGAAAGAAAGAGAGAGAAGGAAAGAAGGAGGGGGGAAGTGCGGGGTGGGCAGGCAGGCTTTGGTGTGGGCCCCTTCGCCTTGGGAGTCAGGTCTTTACCTGCGGAGCACCCACCATATGTCCCTCCCGATCTCCCTCCTCGTACCCGGTAATTGCGGGGGGCAGGGCTTGGTCATATGCCAGCCCCCTCGGCTCCTCACTACCAGAGCGCTGCTCCTCTGTGCTCCGGCCCCAACCAACCCCTGCCTTGGGGCATCGCTGTACTAACTGCAGAGTCACCCCTGAATGGCCATAAAACAGCCATAAATCAATGCAGAAGGTACAAGGATCAAAGAACTCGAAAGTGGCATGGAGTGTGGATGCCACCATAAATCCCATAATCAAAGAGAGTGAAACCAGCATGCAATGCAGAGGGGAATTTCTGTTCCAACGTGGGTTTTGTAAAACAACAGAGGGAAAAGCCAATGCAGAATCAGCCTATAAAAAACTTTTTTTCTGCCTTCCACTTCAGCCCTCTGCATCACCGGAGGACCAGTGATATCAGATGTTACTGAAGCATCACCGTCAAATGCTGTGGTAATGCAGCCTCCTCCTGACAGTGAAAGGTAAAAAGCCTTCTGGTGATCATTATAGATCTATAATCTGACAAAAAGGACTTTAAAAAAAAATCAGTATTCCATAGGTTGGAAGTGAAGGACTTTGTGCTGTCTCTTAGCCTCAGACTTCAGAGGGGAGACTGTAGCGACCCAGAGAGCTAGATAGGTCTAGACCCTGTTTGTCCTTCCTTTCCACTTCTCTGGTGATGTCCCTTTGATGTACAGATTGACATTCTCAAGGCATCCAGGCCAGATCGGCTCTCTTTTCTACATGTGCAGATAACACAGTTTGTATTTTGGGGGAGGGATTTAAACCTTCCTATATATTTTATTTTTGATTTCAGATTTTTCTGCAAACCTTGGAAGTCCCCCACGTTTCCCGGAAAATCTGCTTAGCGTCAGCATGGCCCTCATTCGTGGACTTAGGTGTCTGCAAATGGGGCCCACACACCACTATTAGATATATAGATTGCTACTGTTACTCTATCCTGTCTAGAATGGAATCCCTCACAACTGAAAGACTCTTATTGGTTTGCTGAGGATACAAAGGCCCCTTGTGAACTTTAGTTCTTCAACAGCAGCACACACACTGCTGTGCCACTGTGCAAATTCTTTCACCATACACCATTAGGTAACTCGTGCAGTGCAAGAGGCCCAGTCAGATGAAGCCCAGTCTTTAATATGAACTCATGCTGATTCTTTTATACTGCATATTTTTCTGTCTTTGTTCCGCTGTTCCTCCGTTTCTCAAAAAAACCAACACAAAATCAAAAACCCAAGGACAACCCCAAACCAGACCAAAACCACCTTTAGGGTTAGATCCATCCATCATTTCCACTCACTCTCTTCCAGTTTCCTTCCTTGCTACAGCACCCAACCCACATGGTTTTTGTCCATACAGGTCCCATGATACCACCATAGCCTTGTTTGGATATCAGACAGCAGAGCAAACATGAAAAAAAACAACCCAAACCCTTATGCCATACATTAGTTATAGAACCTTATCTGTTGAATTCCTGTGATGGATAATCATTTTGTGTTTTTGTAGAGCAGAAATGTGTGATCCTTTAGATGGTGCCGATTTGAATTTGGAAGGCCTTCAGATCTTGTTGAGAAGCCAGCAGTACAATCTGGAAGCTGCCAACTCTTTGGATGTACGTTGTTTTTAAAAAACCCTATACTAGATTCTTACCATTTTATTGACAAACTGTCACTAAACAGTATGCAAGCTTTCAGGTTCCACAGAACCTTTCTAAAAGAACTGTGCATCTTATTTCTCACAGGGCTTCAACCCCACTATTTCTGCAAATGAATGGAATTTGAATGACGTGGAGGCAAGTTTGTCCTCGGTAAGAGATGTATGTGCAAGATGAGGAGATGAAAGGAAGCAGCGCACGTGTGGAAAAGGATTTGGGGAGGGCTTTGGGATCAGAAGTACATCCACATAAGTGTCAGCATTTCACAGATGAAAACTTTTGTCCATGTGGTAGAAAGTGCCATCAAGTCACAGCTGACTTGGGGTAGCCCCTTGCGGTGTTTTCAAGGCAAGAAGCAGAGGCAGTTTGCAATTGCCTGCTTCTGTGTAGCAAACCTGGCCTTGTAATTGCCTGCCTCAGGCCCTGGTCACACGGCAAAGTTGCCGCGGGAGAGGCATGGAAGGTGGGCGGATTATCCGGGCGCGATCACACCCCAACATCTGGGAAGTGGAGCGCACCCGTAGCTTACCGCTGACAATGCGCATTTAAAAACTAGTACCTCCAAGGTACTAGTAAACGTTTGCCACGGGCTGCCTCCAGACGCCTGTGGTGTGATCGCGCCGGCCCGCGGCATTCCCCTCCGGTTCCTCGTTTACCCGCTGGCGCTGAGGGAAGGACCCGTGCTGTGCCGCGTAATCGCGGATCAAACTGCACCGGGGCAATTAGCCACGCCTCCCTCCTGCGATATCCGGCCCGTGTGCCCGGAGCCTCTGTGTAGCAAACCTGGGCTTCCTTGCTGGTCCCCCATCCAAGTACTTGTCTGAGATCTGACAAGATTGGGCTAACCTGGGCCATGCAAGTCAGGGCTTTATGTACTTGGGAGACCCCCAAGTTCTGAGCTCCCCCCTCCACTATTACAAAGCCTCTTGCCCATCTCTCAAGTTATGAACCAGAAATTCCATGTTCCAGTCTCCCCTCAGCCCTGAACAGCATATCCTCAGCCTCAGGGTCTCCCCGTCCCATCTACAATACTATGACAATCTGCCCAACCTCTCAGGGTTGTAAGTATGACTGAGAGATTGTTATTGCTTGAATGATGTTCTAAACTGTTTTCTCTGTCACGGTACATTTGCTGCAGTTTGTATTTTTGCATCAAGATACAGAATCCCACTGTGTATCTGGAGAAGAATGCAACTGAGATGTCCTGCCAAGTGTGAAAGCCTCAGTCCAATGCCTACTGCCCAGGTACTGTCAATAACCATCTTTGGAAACTACAGGAAATAGAGATAATTAATTGACAGGCATTTTTTGATTCCAAACTGGCATAGCTACCTCTTTGCCCAGTGCTGCGGGCCTGCACTCTGCAGACAGGCCTGGTCAAGTCTCCTCTACAGTAGCAGCCTCCAGTCCAGATAGTGAGACTTGGGGAATTAGGCTGGGGCTAGAGGATGGGTGGGATAAAAGCATACTAAATTATTCTACATTTCTTATTTTGATCAAAGTCTGTTCATAGATGGAAACGTTCCTGTTTTCTGTTTTCGTTCCTAAGGAGAGATGTCAATCTGGAAAGTACCCAACGGCACCTTGCTGGCAAACCACGAAGCCTTTGAGAAGCAACTTCCTGAATGTACCTCAGAGTTCCACCTTCTTATGCTCAGTCTGGAAATGCAGCTTCCGTCGTGTCCTTTGCAGACTTCGGGAAAAACCTCCTGTTACAGCTGATCTCTCCATATGAGAATGATGAGTGAGCTTTTGCTTAGTTTGATGAGACAGTTTGTGCCTTTCCTTTCCTACCATAGAAACATTTACCTGGCCGAATGTCAAGGAGTGGACGTCCATCATGATCTGGTCCCTGCCGCTGCTGCTTCTTGCTCAAAAGCTATCTTGGTCGCCAGCCTCATTTTCACTGTGCATCTTCTTTGGTGAAGGAAGAGGATTAACTGTCGTTATTTTTGAGATCTCCCACTGTGTTATACTGGAATCCTACAGGAACATCTGAACTTATTCCCACCCACCCCCCTTTTGCATGATCTGCTATGGAAAATCAGGTGAGGAGGTAGCCACTCCTTTGACACCCCTTTCCTGATGTTTAACTCTCATGACCAGTTTTTCCTGGAGGAAATCTTGTACCTCACTGAAAAGGTGCCAACTTCCCATGATCCGTCTCATCCAGTCATTCTTCCTAATTATTTCCCTTCTCCTCGTCCTCCTGCTTTGTCATCAGAACTTGAGCATCTGTCTTATGGGCCTGATCCTGTTTAAGACTTGGTGCACTAGTAAGTGCTTAGGATGGGACTACATTGGTTGAGAATCCGCAGGGGCACAAATTTGATGTGTGAAGATCAGGTTGGCCGTGGATCGATCTAGCCTAGAGGCTCAATCAGAGTCTAATACCTGTTCGGACAAGAGAGTTGCACTGGAACTGAAACGTGTTTGGAGGAAAAAATCTTTGATGCAGTGAATGTTTGCATGCATTTAGATTCTAATTTGACTTTTCCAGCATTCATAATTATGGGCACTGTTGAATGCTGGTTTAGAGGGTTTTCCTTTAAGTTGCAGAAGTCATTTATCGCCTTAAACTTGCAACCTAGTTCATTGATGCAAAGTTGAATTTTGAAAAGCAAAATTTGAAAATGTTGCCAAATATTGAATGTTATGTGAATGTTGGTTTGTGTTCCTGTTTGCATTCAGCTAAGGTGTGTGGTGACTCAGGGCAGGGGTGGGGGATACTGGGTCTTTTCAGAACCAGTGAAGGAGCATTTAGATGTTGCATACTTCCTGGAACCTGGGTGCCAGATGTGAAAACACAGAATACTCTTCCACTTCCCTCCTCCACTACAAATGTTCCCTCTTTTCCCTTCTGCACTCATCCTGGTTCATTGACCACAAAGTTACATGAAGGCAACTGTAGAGGAACACAAGATGGAAAAATTCTTGAGCAGCCCTGGTTTTGGACTGTGTTATTCATGGTCAATCAAAAATATTGCCAAAACAAAGGTGACCATCAGCAGCATTCCTGGTGCAGCTGGCAGACATCTGCTGTGCTGGATCAGGGTACCAAATAAGTGTAAAAATCCTGAGAAGCATCCTACAACAGGGCTCCATCACCTCAGGGAAAGTGTATTTCTATAAAATGCTCCTATTTAGCATCAAATTCAAAGGCAAAAACCTAGCCCCCCCCCCCCCAAAAAAAGAGTTGGCTTTTCATATACTGCTAAATGAAAACATATTAGCTGCCTTCTTAAGCGTTCATTGAACAGCCAAGTCTTGATTGTATATGGAGATACTTGAAGTATATCTGCACCACAAACTGATATCAGGTTTTATGCCTTTTCTCTCATGGTTTTCTCCAAAGAATGCTGGGAACTGGGGCTGAGAATTCTGTCTTTAGAGAGCCCTTCCTCCAAGCAGAGTTCCCATAAGTCCCCTAGGAAG